CTTAACAGCCGCTTCCTTCAAACATGATGGAATATTTCCTTTCCTGAAGGACACATTGATGATATCCATAAGGAACTTCCTCAATGCATTCCCCCCCCCGGACGGCCAGCCATGATGGGCAAGGGTTGAGAGGGCAAGTTGTTTTCCTCACACTACCAAGGAGCTTGTCCATATCATCAGTACTCACAGATTGGAGCTGATCCAGAATAACTTCATCAGTGGAGTCGCTGGGCACTTCATCTATGGTTTCTGTTAAAAGACTGGCATCTAAGTCAGCTCTTATCTGAGAGATTTTATCTGCAAAGTAGTTGTTAAATGCGTCACAGCAGGCCGTTGTCAGTTTAAGTAAAGGATTAGGGGCAGGGGGCACCTACGTCAGCTTCCTCACCACCCTAAACAGCTCTGCTGGATGGGACTCTGCAGACGCAATACGTGCATGCATTGCCTCCTGATAGGACCAAAGAAAGTTCCTATGGCGAGTTCTGTCGGATAAGAGTCGAGTCTTCCGCCACTTGCGCTCTAGTCGTTGTCCAAACAGCTTCATTTTCCTAAGCTCTGGTGTATACCATGGCTTACGGTTAGAAGAGGGATGGCAAGGACATTTGGGAGCGATCGTGTCGATGGCCTTGGTAAGATCCGTGTTCCAAGTACTGATGAAAGCCTCGACAGGGTCGCTGGCATTTCCAACCATTAGACCCTCTAAGGTTTTCTGGAATCCGATTGGTTCCATTAGCCTTCGAGGGCGGACCATTCTAATAGGTCCACCACCCCCGGTGAGGCGAGCGAAGGCTTTCAGTTTCACCTTGACCAGGAAATGGTCCATCCATGACAGAGCGGAGGTCCTAGTGGCCTCTGCCCACAGATGTTCCTGTTCCGTACTGAAGACTGCATCAAGTGTATGACCTGCACAATGTGTGGGCCCAAGGACCAGTTGGGATAGGCCTATGTTACTCATGGTATCCATGAACTCCTGAGCCGCACCTGTTAAACTGGTCTCGAGCGGGATGTTGAAGTCCCCCAATACTAAAAGTCTGGGAGACTCCAACAACAGCTCAGAGACCGGCTGTGTCAGCTGGGTTAGGGAGTCTGCTAGACAACAGGGTGGTCGGTAGACTAGCAGAATCCCCAAACTATCCCTGGTCCTCAGACTAAGGTACATACACTCGAAATGGACTATTTAAAAAATAGTCCAGATTTAAATGCTGCTTTAAAAATTATTTCCATCTTCCAGCTATGAGATGGTTGGGGGGAAATGAGAAAGTGTTCAGGGGAAGGACTGCCAATATACTAGATGATGCATTCGGGGGTATGTACAATTTGCAGCCAAATAAGTGACCCTGGGCATGTTACACACACTCAGCCTCAGAAGATGGTAATGGCAACCCCCATTTGAAGAAACATGCCAAGAAAACCCCATGATAAGGTTGCCTTAGGGTCGCCATAAGTCAGAAAGGACTTGAAGACACACAAGAACAACAAAAAATTCTGCAATTGTTTCATAGGTAGTACATGGGAATAGGAGCCAGCATGGTGTATTGGTTTGAGTGTTGGACTACCACTCCGGAGACCTGGGTTTGATTCCCCACTGTGCCATGAAACCCTCTGCGTGAACTTGGACAAGTCACACACTCTCAGCCTCAGGGGAAGGCAGTGGCAAACCTCCTCTGAGTGAATCTTGCCATAAAAACTCCATGATCACCATAAGTCAGGAACAATTTAAAGGCACACAACATACACATATAACCTCCAAGTTAAGGAACTTGATTCTTCTTTAGATAAATATTCAAGGGTACACACCAGGGGTAGGCAACCTTTCCCCTTTAAGGGCCAAAGGACTTCAGCTCCCAGAAGCCTCAGCCATGTTGGCCAATAGTCCCATGTTGGCCAATAGCTCCTGGGATTCTGGGAGCTGAAGTCCCTCGGCCCTTAAAGGGGAAAGGTTGCCTACCCCTGGCACACTCTCTCTTTCTCTCTCATTGTGCAGAATTATTTGTTAAAGAAGCCATGCCCAAGCAACAAATCAACTTTGACTACGTCTGCATTGCAGAAATTTATTAAAGCAGTTTGACACTGTTTTAACTGCCCTGGGCCAAGGCAATGGAATTCTGGGATTTGAAGTTTTGTGAGATATTTAGCCTTTTCTGTCAGAGAGCTCTGGTACCACAAAGCAAACTGCAGATCCTAGGAGTCCATAGGATGGAGCCATGGTAGTTAAAGCGGTGTCAAACTGCATTATTTCTGCAGTGCAGATTCAGGCTGCATCCATATTGTAGAACTCGCTTCCTTCTGTTTTTCCCCTCCTCCTCTTCCTCCTCCTCTCTCCTGGTTTTCTTCTCTTTCTCCTCTCGTCCTCATCCTCCTCCTTCTCTACCTGGTGTATAAGACGCCCCCCAACTTTTGAGACCCTTTTCCAGGGTTAAAAAGTCATCTTATATGCTGGAAAATTACGGTAGCCAAATTTTCTGACACAGCATACATACATTTTACATTTTCAACTTAGTATTTTTAAAAGATTTTACATGTTTTTGTTATATTAATATGGTGTTTTAGTTGCATTTTTAAATTGTATTGTTTTTGTTAAGCTTTTGTGAGCTGCCAAGTTGTGACAAAGGTGACAAATAAATAAATAATCCAATTTGAGCTCTTTGGTCTGAGAGTTACATACTAAAATGCACAACTATTGAGTCAGGAATGAGAGTAGAGATAACAGACGTACTGCACTCTATTCCCTCTTATATTTGGTTTTGTTCGGGGTTGTTTTTGCTGTGTCCCTTCAAGTCATTTCTGACTTATGGTGACCCTAAGGTGAACCTATCACAGGGTTTTCTTGGCAATGTGAAGTCGAAGGCTTTCATGGCCAGCATCCATAGGTTTTTGTGGGTTTTTCAGGCTGTAAGGTCATGTTCTAGAACAGGGGTAGGCAACCTTTCCCCTTTAAGGGCCGAGGGACTTCAGCTCCCAGAATCCCAGGAGCTATTGGCCAAAATGGGACTATTGGCCAACATGGCTGAGGCTTCTGGGAGCTGAAGTCCCTCAGCCCTTAAAGGGGAAAGGTTGCCTACCCCTGTTCTAGAAGAATTTATTCCTGACATTTTGCCTTCATCCATGGCTGGAATTTTCAGAGAATGGTAGAATGGAGGTGCATGGAGTATATGTACTGTGTGAACCTTGGTTAAGAAAAGTGATTTACATGTTAATCTGTGTGTTGGTCTGTGAATAGTAAGGCCTCAGGGTGGGATGATATGCAAGGAGGATTAGTGTCTATTTATTAATAATAATAATAATGATACATTTTTATTTATTCTCCACCCCTCTGTTAAAAACAATCGAGGCGGGGTATTTTAATTGATCTGTTGTCTGCTGGGAAACCCCCTGTCAGGCTTTAAATCCAGCCTTTATGAAATTTAAGGTAATCTATACTGGAATTTAATGCCCTAGTTTTTTTTTTTCATGTGAGCACATGCACACACACACACACACACACACAAACAACATGTTTGAAACCCAAAAGCAAAATTGCATTGCCACACCAATACTGTATAGGTGATATACCTATGTCAATAAACAAGCTTTAAATTGACACTATGTATAATAACTATGCATGAAATGCCAATTTCCATTTGAAATATATATAGAGGAGCATGGAAGATCTGCCTTCAAGCCATCTATGCTTTATTCAGACTTAGATCAGTTACAGTTTCTCCCATTCAACTCATTGTGCCTTATAACTGCCTAATTTTGGCTATATTTTACAAACAAAACAACAAAAATCAGCACCCATACAATTAGCCACTAAAACATCATGACATAACTATCCTTTAAAAATTTTTTTGTCATGTACCAACTAATAATTATTAAAATAGCCTGGGCTATAGTCTGGAAGTTCTTGAGAGTTCATGCATTTGTTTTCTGTGGGAATGCCTGGTCTTCATCATAGCATCATTTCTGATTGCTGGGATGGCCTCATGATAGCCACAACAAGGAGGACTTTTGCTCAGCGTTGACAAATGCACATGCTACAACCTTTTTGAAAAAAGGCAAATTCAGACCAATTGATTGCATCTCATTTGGATTACTGCATTCTCTATGGGGAAAAACCTGAACTTTGGGGGGGGGGGGAATTGCAGAGGTGCAGAAAGCTGACTTCAGACAGCTGCTTGAGGCTTGTTATTTAGAACATGTAACTTCATTATTATTCACTCTGCATCAATTCCCAGGCTGTTCGCAAGCCCAATGCAAACTGAAGGTGATCACCTTTAAAGCTCTCATAAAGCAAAAGTATTAAAAATGTAGCTTACCAGCAAAATCCAGAAATTCCCAGACAGGCCAAATTGAAGAAAATGGTTGAAATAAAAATCATTTTACCTAATTTTAAATATTTTAAGATGATGATTGTGGTGTTGTCAGTCTGAACAAAATTCTACACTAATTTGCGGTAGAATTCAAAGACATAGGGCCTAAGCAGACTGCCAGAAATAGTGCACATTAAATTGAGGCACTGCCCTGGCTCAGTGCTAGGGAATTGTGGGAACTGTATTTTTTTCTGAGACATTGAGCCTTCTCTGTCAGAGAGCTCTGGTGCCACAATAAATTACAGTTCCCATGATTCCCTAGCACTGAGCCAAGGCAGTGCCTCAATTTAATGTGCACTATTTCTGGCAGTCTGCTTAGGCCCATAGTCATATTAATCTGGAACATTAGTATGCAAAGGGATCTTGTAGTGATTTTGAGAATAAGTGAAAGAGAGGTTGGTAGCATGAGCTTTCATAGACTTGGACCTATTTCTCCATCTGAGGAAGTAGGCTCAAGTCTACAAAAGCTCATGCTACCCACTTCTCTCTTTCAGTTAGTATGAAAATTACAAGTTCTTTGCACTATTTTGTGTTTTTGTTGTTTTTATCATCTCCCTTCAAGTTGTTTCCAATTTATGGCAACCCTAAGGTGGACCTATAATGGACTGAGAGGCTGTGACTCACCCAAGGTCACACAGTGGGTTTTCTGGGCTGATCAGGGAATCAAACCCTGACAATCAGAGTCCTAGTCTTATGCTCAAACCACTACACTATGCTGGCTCTCTAGCTTAATCCAACCTTATCTTAAATTATTAGGATTCAAGGGCATGTTGACATTTTAGGGACTGGTTTTACAGCAGATAACCCACCATTTTGTGTGTGAACATAAATAATAATAATAATAATAATAATAATAATAATAATAATAATAATAATAATAATAATAAATGTATTTGTATCCTGCCTCTCTGTGTAACCGGGGTGGCTTACATGCTAAAACATACATTTCTGTCTTCCAACACACACACACACACACACAAATACAATTAAACAGTCATCGTTTAAACCATACTTTAAAACAACAATATACAACAAGTAGCAAATAAATTTAAAATAACTGTGAGAGAAGTTGGGGTGTAACAGACACAACTTTTTCAGTGGCCGGTTGTCTACTCAGGAAAGGCCTGCCAGAAGAGATTTGTCTTAACAGCTTTTTAAAAGCTGTTTAAGGAGGTAATGTGATGGATCTTAGCTGGCAATAACCAACACCTTGTACTGCGCCCAGAAACTGATAGGCAGCCAGTGAAGCGATCTTAAGATTTGTGTTATATGGTCTCTTCTAGTTTTACCTGAGACCAGCCTGGCTGTGTTCTGTATCAATTGAAGTTTCCAAAGTAGGCATAAGGGTAGCCCCCATGTAGAGTGCATTACAGAAATCAAGACAAGCGGTTACCAGCACATGTACCACAGTTTTAAGGTCCCTAACTTCCAGGAAAGATTTGTCATCTGAAGCGACGGATCTAGGAGCACCCCCAGACTGTGAATACAGTCCTTTCAGGAGAGTGTGACCCCATCTAGGACTGGGAATTGTATCCTGATACCTGGGTTTGGGGCCGCTACCGTTTTGTCTGGATTCAGTTTCAATCTGTTTTTCCTCATCTAGTCCATTACTGCTTTAAGACATTCATTGAGGAGGAAGACGCCATCTGAAGTCAAATCCATAGCCCAAGACATGGAGAAATATATCTGGGTGTGATCAGCGTACTGATAACACACCCGCCCCATGTCTCTGGACGATCTCTCCCAGCAGCTTCATATATATGTTGAATAGCATCGGGGACAGGATGGCAGCCTGAGGGATGCCACAATTAAGTTCCTTTTTAGCTGAGCAACTGTCCCTGAGCGTCACCCTCTGGAATCTGCCCAAGAGGAAGAACGGAACCATTGCAATGCAATGCCTCTGATTCCTAATTCTCTCAGGCGCTTCAAGAGGATGTCATGAGCTATTGTGTCAATGGCCGCTGAAAGGTCCAGTAGCATCAACATAGTCAAACTACCCCTGTCTATGCTTAGATGGAGGTCATCAGCTAAGGCAACCATGGCAGTTTCCACTCCATATCCTGTCCTAAAGCCAGTTTGAAATGGATCCAGATAATTGGTTTCCTCCAAGACAACCTGGAGCTGAAGGGCAGCAGCCTTCTCAATCACCATGCTCAAGAGAGGTAGTAAAGAAACTGGTATATAGCTATTCATGCCCAGAGGGTCAAGGGAAGATCTTTTCAGATATGGCCTGACCGCTACTTCCTTCAAGCAAGGTGGAACCTGACCCTCCCTAAGGATGCATTGATGATGTCCCTCAGGACCATCCTCAAGACATCTTCCCCTGGATGGCCAGCCACAAATAGCAAGGATCAGCAGGTTGTCTTCCTCACCCTACCAAGGAGCTTGTCCATGTCATTGGTTCTCACCGATTGGAACTGATCCAGTATAATCTCATCAGGAGAGTTGCTGGACACTTCATCTATCGATTCTGCTATAACATTGGCATCCAAGTCGGCTCTTATGTGAGAGATTTTATCTGCAAAGAAGTTGTTAAAACACATCACAGCAGGCTGTTGTCGGGTTAAGTAATGGGTTGTGCACAGGTGGAACCTGTGTCAGTTCCCTTACCACCCTAAACAGCTCTGCCGGGTGGGACTCTGCAGATGCAATACGTGCATAGGAGAAAGATTTCCTCACTGCATGTATTGCTTCTCTATAGGAACAAAGAAATATCCTATGATGAGTTCTGTCAGATAAGAGTTGAGTTTCTGCCAGATGCACTCTAGTCGTTGTCCAACCCACTTCATCTTCCTGAGTTCTTCAGTATACTGTGGTTGGCGGTTTGAAGTGGGTTGAAAAGGACGCTTAGGAGCAATTGTGTCAATAGCCTTGGCAAGATCAGTGTTCCAGGTATTAACAATCACTGGTGTTACCAACCATTAGACCCTCTGAGGCTTTCTGGAATCCAATTGCTTCCATTAGCCTTCAAGGGTGGACCATTCCAATGGGTCCTCCACCCCCGACAGGATGGACAGTGGTTCTTAGTTCAGCCTTGGTCAGGACCGTGACAATGCGGAGGTTTTTGTTACTTCAGCCCATGGATATTCCTGTTCCGTACTGAGGACTGCATCGAGGGCATGACCTGCGCAATGCGTGGGTCCAATGACCAAATGGGATAGGCCTATGTTTGTCATGGACTCCATGAACTCCTGAGCCATACCTGTTAGATTTGACAAACAGGTCTCAAGTGGGATGTTGAAGTTCCCCAAGATTAAGAGTCTAGGTGATTCCAACAGGAACTCTGAGACCAATTGTGCCAGCTTGGTTAGGGAGTCTGTTAGACAATGTGGACAACTAACAGAATCCTCAAACTATCCTTGGTCCTCAGGCTCAGATACATACACTCGAAATGGACTGTTTTCTGGACAGGTATCTTGGTCAAGGTAAGATTATTCTTATGGGCCAGAGCCACTCTGCCCTCTCGCCCACTTCCCCTTACCTGCTCACTGACAGAGTACCCAGCTAGGAGGGCCTGTGCCCAAGTTATAACGCTGTCTTCTCCCAGCCAGGTCTCTGTCAAGCAAGCCAGGTTGGCATCTTCATCTAGACGAAGATGCTGGGTGGGGGGATGGATTTTAAAACTGCAGCTGCCCAACTCTCTCTCTCACTATCCTTCTCTTTCACTGCTGCTGGAAGGGTGCTGGGTGGATGGATGGATTTTAAAGCACTAACTTTCATGCTGCCACCAAGCACTTGAACTCAGACCAGAATGAACATAAGAAAAACCAAATTGGATCAAACCAAAGGCTTATCTTCTCTCCAATATTCTCTTTACACAAGGACAACCAGTTACCCAGAGGAAGCGTTCCAGCAGGACATGATTGTAAAAGTCACCCTTGTTGCATTCCTCAGCAACATATTACTACAAACAAAATGTATCAAGTTGTATGTGGATGTAATAATAATAATAATAATAATAATAATAATAATAATAATAATAATAATAATTTATTTATATACCGCCCTGTGGCAAGCCAGTCTGGGCGATTTACAACACTAAAATACATACAACTTAAAACAATATAATTCCCTCCCCTAAAAAGGTTATTAAATCACATCTCAATTAAAACCAATTTACAATTTAAAACAATGACAAATTAAAAACAATAGAAATAATACAAACCGATAAACCCCTGCAACTTTAGTTCTGAAAAGGGGGCTATGGAGACATTCCCAAGGAGGAGGGAGATCCCAAGATCCCGAGGCTGGGTATTTTAGTCTGGAAAGGCCTGCCGGAAGAGATCCATCTTGAAAGTCTTTTTAAAGCTGTCCAAGGATGTTAATTGAAAGACCTTGTCCGGCAGGTCATTCCAGAGCCTGGGGGAGACAACAGAAAAAGCCCTCTGGGAGGTCGCCGCAAGCCTAGATTTTTGAGGCTGCAGTAAACATTGTCTCACTGTTAGTGCTGAAGTACTGCTGCTTGTTCTAAAACAAATGCCATATGCCCAGTTTTAAAGGAGGACCACAGTGTAATTATTAGGACATGCAATGCATGTTGATGGTCCCAGGTTCTCTAGGTGTGCCTGAGAAAGGACTAAAGACCCTAATAAAAACCTAGTTTTTACAAGTTTTTCCCCTTAGGGTGCAGATGGGTATCCTTTTTCCTTTCTTAGGAATTCATGTTTTAAATCAATACCTATATTTTAAAGGAAGGTGTGGGTCTCTATTCAACACAACTATATTCTTGTTTCCTTGCATACTTTCCAATAACTTCTAGGTTAATTGTTCTATTAATCTAGAATTGACAATAATTGGTTATTAATGATAGTTCTGGTCAATAAAATGGGAGTATTGTGTTGATGTTCCTTTGAATCAGATCCATTGCAGGTATGAGTCTTCCAGACACACCCTAATAAGGAATAAATTTTAATTGTTTTTCTCACCACCCTTCTTTTCAACTACTGAGAACTTCTTGATCAATATTCATTGATGAGATTTAATTTCATCAGTGGGCTCCTAAACCCAAATCAGTATCTAAATTACATTAGCCAGGTAAATGGTTTTAAAAACAAATCTGACCTTTTGCTCCTTTATGGTTCCTTGTGTATGGTTGAGTGGTAAAATAAATTCTGGGATGTAATGATGGTTTGATTTGATTTAGTAGGTTGGTACATACATATCCTATAATTAGGTAAGACAAAAATGAAATAGGAAAGTCTCACTTTATTATGTCAATTGGACATCATGAAACATGCATTCACAATCCATTATTAAATGATAATGACTTCCTTGCACATCAATGGAGAAGTCAAGTGTCCATTCCTCCTTTTTGCTTGTTTTGTATTGCTTTCAAATGCCTTAATTCCCCATGATAAGAATCAGTTTAGCAAAGTAACAGCAAAAGTAATTAAACATTTTTATACCCAACCAATATCTACATATCCAGTAAACTCAAGAGCAGTAACAGCAAGAGTTGGTTTTTTATATGAATCATCAGAAATTAAGACCATTTTATTTGCACCAGTAGACAAACTATGGTATTGACATCCAGATGACTGAGTTGTGCATAATGATCTAAATTTACAACAACAATTTTATATCAACACAGCTGCTGTCTTACTGAATACACATGAGTGTGTAAATGCACTCAGTCTATGGGATATTCACTGCAAAAGACAATAAAGGCAAAAACCACCACCACCACAACTAAAAATCCAAATGTAATATTGATACTATTA